CTGTTCACGATGGACTCCTGGAAAAATGGGAATAAAAACGGGAATTCCGGGAATAAAATCTGGGAATTCCTGTTCACGATGGACTCCTGGAAAAACGGGAATAAAATCTGGGAATTCCGGGAATAAAATCTAGGAATTCCTGTTCACGATGGACTCCTGGAAAAACGGGAATAAAATCTGGGAATTCTGGGAATAAAAACGGGAATTCTGGGAATAAAACCTGGGAATTCCTGTTCACGATGTACTCCTGGAAAAACGGGAATAAAATCTGGGAATTCCGGGAATAAAAATGGGAATTCCGGGAATAAAATCTGGCAATTCCTGTTCACGATGTACTCCTGGAAAAACGGGAATAAAATCTGGGAATTCTGGGAATAAAATCTGGGAATTCCTGTTCACGATGGACTCCTGGAAAAGCGGGAATAAAACTGGGAATTCCGGGAATAAAATCTGGAATGAAACCCAGGATTCCTGTTCACGATGGACTCCTGGAAAAACGGGAATAAAAATGGGAATTCTGGGAATAAAAATGGGAATTCTGAGATAAAACCCAGGAATAAAACCTGGGATTCCTGTTCACGATGAACTCCTGGAAAAATGGGAATAAAAACAGGAATAAAAACGGGAATAAAAATGGGAATAAAAACGGGAATAAAAACGAGAATAAACAGGGAAAATCTGGGAATAAAATCTGAGATTCCGGTTCACGATGTAATCCTGGAAAAACGGGAATAAAAATGGGAATAAAACCTGGGAATTCTGGGGATAAAAGCAGGAAGCATCTGGAATTCTGGCACAAAACCACCAAGAAAATCCCAAATATCCAACTTGGAAAAATCCCAAGAAATTCCTGAAAAATAGGGAGAAAAAAAATCACAAAAAATTCAAAAAAAAATCCCAAAAAATTCAAATTTTTGCCTAAAAACACCCCAAAAAAATCCCAAAAAAAATCCCCAAAATTCCCAAATTTCCCCCGGGTCCGGAATTCCCTGGAAATCGGGGAATTTTGGGGCAGACCTGCAGGAACTGGACGGTTTTATCCAGGAGCTCGGTGCCGATGTAGCGCAGTGTGTCCCGGTGGGGCTGGAACAACCCCAAAAAACCCGGAAAAATCCCAAAAAACTCCCCAAAACTCCCTCCAAAAATCATGGAAAAATCTCCAAAAAATCCTGCAAAATGCTGGGAAAAAACAAAAAAAAATCCAAATAAAATCACAAAAAAAATCACAAAAAATTCAAATTTTTGCCTAAAACCACCCCGAAAAATCCCAAAAAAATCCCCCAAAATTCCCAAACTTCCCCCGGGGCCGGAATTCCCTGGAAATCGGGGAATTTTGGGGCAGACCTGCAGGAACTGGACGGTTTTATCCGGGAGCTTGGTGCCGATGTAGCGCAGCGTGTCCCGGTGGAATTTGCTCTCCAGGTGCCGCTGGATCTCCTCCTCCTCCAGGCTCCGGAATTTGCAGACGGAGCAGGCGAACTGGATCCTGGGAAAAGGGAATGCGGAAAATTCCCAAAAAAATCCACCAAAAATTCCCTCAAAATCCACCAAAAATTGCCAGAAAAATGCCCCAAAATTCCCAGAAAATCATCCAAAAATTCCCAGAAAATCCCAGAAAAAATTCCCTAAAATTTCCAGAAAATCCCCCAAAAAATTCCTGAAATTCCCAGAAAATCCCCAATATTCCTAAAAAAACCTCCCCAAAATTCACAGAAAAAAAGAATTCCCAGAAAAATTACCCCAAAATTTCCTGAAATTCCCAGAAAATCCCCAAAATCCCCATAAAAAAAAAAATTTGCAGAAAATTCCCCCAAAATTCCCAGAAAATTAAAAAAAAAATTGCCTTAAAAATTCCCCAAAAATTCCTGAAAATCCCCAATATTCCCAAAAAAACTTCCCAATATTCCCCAAAAAAAAAAATCCTAGAAAAATTCACCCAAAATTCCCAGAAATATTCCACCAAAATCCCCAGAAAATTCCCCAAAATTTCCCAAACAAATTCTCCCAGATTCCCAGAAAATCCACCAAAAAACTCCCAGCAAAATGCCCCAAATTTCCAGAAAATCACCAAAAAATTCCCCCAAATTCGCAGAAAATTAAATAAAAAATCCCAGAAAAATTCCCCGAAAATTCACAAAATTCCTGGGAAATTCCCTGAAAAATTCCCCAAAACCCCCCGAAAATCCCCAAAATTCTCTGAAAATCCCCAAAAATTCCCGAAATTCCCCAGAATTCCATAAAAATTCTGGAAATCCCGGCTTCCCACCTGTCCATGGCCCTGTCCCTCATCCGGTCCCTCCGGCGCTGCTTCTCCCGTTTCTTCCTCACCTCCTCGTCCTCCTCCGAGGATCCTGCGGGAAATTCGGGAATTCTGAGCCCCAAAAAATTCCCAACATTCCCACAGCCCAAACCCCCAATTCTTCCCACATTTTCTCACCTTTTTCCCAGATTTTCCCACTTTTTTCTGGGTTTTTCCCACTTTTTTTTCTATGTTTTTCCCTCAATTTTTCCCCCTTTTCACTCAATTTTTCCCATTTATTTTCCCCTTTTCCCATTTTTCCTCAATTTTCTGTAGATTTCTTTTTCCCATTTTTCCCCCAATTTCTAGCAATTTTTCCCACGGTTTTTCCCAGATATTCCCATTTTCCCGTTTTTCCCACATTTTCCCTCCTTTTCCCACTTTTTCCCTCCATTTTTCCCATTTGTTTTCCCTTTTCCTATTTTCCCTCAAATTTCCCTGGATTTCTGTTCTTTTTCCCATTTTTTCCCAAATTCCCCCAATTTTTCCCATGGATTTTCCCAGATATTCCCATTTCCCCCTTATTTTCCCCCATTTTTTTCTTGGATTCCCTTTATTTTTCCACTATTTCCGTGGTTTTTCCCAAATATTCCCATTTTCCACCATATTCCACTTTTTTTCCGTTTTTCCACCATTTTCCCCAGTTTTTCCCCTGCTTTTTCAAGTTTTATCCCAATTTTCTCTTGGAATTTTTTCCCTGCTTTTCCCATTTTTCCTGATATTCTCCATTTTCTCCTCTATTTTTCCCATTTTCCCCTGATTTTCCCTCTTTTTCTCCCATTTTCCCTCGATTTTCCCTCCTTTTCCCCATTTTCCCCGATTTTTCCCATTTTATTCCCTCACTTGTCCAATTTTCCCAAATTTTCCCTGTTTTTCCTGATTTTCCCCATTTTATTCCCTCACTTTTCCCATTTTTCCCCCAATTTTTCCATTTTTCTCCCATTCCCAGCAGCCTTTTCTTCCTTGGGATCATTTGGGATCCAACCCCAGAGAATTCCTCAGGAATTCCTTCCAAAAACCCCAAAATTCCTTAAAAAAACCCCAAAATTCCTTAAAAAAACTCCATAATTCCCTCAAAAATTATCAGGAAAAGCCAAAAAAAAGAGCTAGAAAATAAGGAAAAAATCCCTAACTTTGGGGTGGGAATTGGAATTTTCGGGAATTCCCATCCCAAATTCCCCAAAACCTGGGAAGAACCCTTGGAATTTTGGGATTTTCCCCCTTCCCGGCCACAAATTCCCAAAAAAAGCTGGAAAATCCCGGAATTCCGGGAATTTCCCCCCAGAATTCCGGGAATTCTCCTGGCAAAGGGAGCCTGGGGTCTCCTGGGGAAGCAAATCCGGGATCTCCTGGAAAAAAGAAGGAAAAGGAACCATTGGAGTCAATTTTCCTTGGAATTTCCTGGGGGATAAATGGAATTTGGGAATTTTCACCTCGTTTTGCATGGATATTCCCCAAAAATATATTTTTTATTTTTAGTGGAATTTTGAAGGCTGGAAAAGCCTCGAGGATTTGGGAATTCCAGCCCTGCCCTGCTCGGCCTCTCCCAGCCTTTTCCAGGTGGGAATTATTCCCAAAATTCCCAAATTTCTGATCCCACCTGGAAAATAAAAAACCCCAAATTTGGGATCCAGCCCCTCCAGGAGCCAAATCTGGGTGGAAATTCCCAATTTTTTTTTTTTTTTTGGGATGTTCCAGGCAGGGGAATCCACTTGGGAATTCCAAAGGGGGGGAAAATTCCATCAAATTTGTGATTTTTGGGATATTCCAAGGCAGAGAATTCCTCAAAAGCTGCTGCAGGGCTCTGAAATTCCCAGATTTTCCTGGATTTTGGGAATTCCTGGAATACTTACACCTTTGTCTGCCTCATCCAGGGATTTCTCCTCTCCTTCTCCTTCATCTCCTGCGGGAAAAATGGGAAAAATTAGGAAGAAAAGGGAAGAAATTGGGAAAAAAGAAGGAAATTCCAAGGAAATTTGGGGAAATTCCAGGGAAATCTGGGAAAATCCAGGGAAATATCCATGGAAAATCCAAAGAAAAAGGGTAAAAATGCAGGAAAAAAATGGTGGGAATCCATGGAAAAGGGGGGAAAACTACAAAAAATCCCAGGAAAAGGAGGGAATTCCCAGGAAAAGGTGGAAATTCCCAGTAAAAACTGGAAATACCTATGGAAAAGGGTGGAAATTATGGAAAAAATGTGGAATTCCCAGAAAAAGGCTAGAAATTCCCAGGAAAAGGATGGGAATTCCCAGGAAAAGGCTGGAATTCCCAGAAAAAGGCTGGAAATTCCCACAAAAAGACCAGAATTCCCAGGAAAAAGCATGGAAATTCCCAGGATAAAAGGCTGGAATTCCCAGGAAAGGCATTGAAATTCCCAGGAAAAGGCTGGAAATTCCCAGGAAAAGGCTGGAAATTCCCAGGGAAAAAAAATGCCAGATTTCCCAGGAAAAGGCAGAAATCCCCAAGGAAAAAAGGACACAATTCCCAAAAAAAGGCTGGAAACTCCCAGGAAAAGAGCAGAATTCCCAGGAAAATCCCAAACAAAGGCAGGAAATTCCCAGGAAAGGAGCAGAATTCCCAGGAAAATCCCAAACAAAGGCAGGAAATTCCCAGGAAAAGAGCAGAATTCCCAGGAAAATCCCAAACAAAGGCAGGAAATTCCCAGGAAAGGAGCAGAATTCCCAGGAAAATCCCAAACAAAGGCAGGAAATTCCCAGGAAAAGAGCAGAATTCCCAGGAAAAGCCCAAACAAAGGCAGGAAATTCCCAGGAAAGGAGCAGAATTCCCAGGAGAAGGCACGGTACCGTGCTCGGAGTCGCTGTCGCTGCGGGGGTTTTTGGGATCGGCGTTCCCGGGCTCGTTCCCGGTGTCGTTCCCGGCGTTCCCGTTGTTATTCCCGTCGTTATTCCCGTCGTTATTCCCGTCGTTATTCCCGTCGTTATTCCCGTCGTTATTCCCGTCGTTATTCCCATCGCGTTTCCGCTTGCGGGGCCCCTCGGGCTCCCAGCGCCCCCCGGGGCGAGCGCGGAGCCCCCGGCGCCGGCCCTGGAAAAGGGGGAAAAATGGGATCAAGTGGAGGGAAAAGGGGGAAAAGTTATGGGAAAGGGGGGAAAAATGGGATAAAGTGGAGGAAAAGGGGGAA